AAGGAAAAAGGGCCTGCTGGGCTCTGAGCCTTCAAAGAGCCCTTTTCAACATTAAAAGGTAGGGAGTGGTGGGAGGCAGAGGGGCAGCAGACAGAGGAAGAGGGGAGTTTCCCAGTATAGTGATGGAAAATGCAGTGAGGAAGAAGACTGGGAGAGAAACAACAGTAATAAACATTTTATGAAGCAGAAAATGGCTTATAAAGAAGTCAACTTTTAAAGGCAATTTATATAATCCTGCCAAGCGCACATAAACGGGGGGATGGATCTCTGCAGAGCTGGAGTGTCCCTTAAAGGCACAAATAGCTCTGGCAGCCCCAGCAGACTGACAGGCTGCAATGATGATGATGATGATGATGATGATGATGATAGTGATGATAGTGATGTTGCCCTGGGATGCATTCTGTAGCTGGCAGTGCAGATCTGCACCTCTGACAGCATCCCCAGGTGAGCATGGCCCCCACTCCCACACACTTTGCCAGTGGGGGACACCTGAGACCCTGCTGATGCTGCTGGGCTGAAGATCTGGAATAGAACCCAAGGAAAACTTGGGAGGAAAGCAGAGCACAGAAATGGAAAAGAGCTGGGAGAACATGGAGCTGCCTGGGATGTCTGACAGGCCACATGGCAACTTGTCAGTGAGGATGGATACAAAGGACAGCAGCAAAAAAGCAACATGACCTTTCAGCATTTTTTAGGTACTTCTGCAGATCCCTTGCCCAAGTAGGGCAGCAAACAGAGGACGGAAACCTGAAAACTGCATTGCAGAGTGGGCTGGAGTCCTGGCACCTCCATTTGCCGCTGGGGATGGTCAGCACAGGGTGAACTCAGAACCACTGCCACAGCTGGGGAACAGGACTGGGGACATCCAGAGCAGGAGGACAGCCCTGATGTGCCCTGAAGGACAAACCCTCATGGAGGCTCTGCATGGAGTGGAGCCAGACTATCCCACTGGACCTCCGAATGAAAGCCTGTAGGCCAGAAGATTCTCACTGGGAAAACTGGTCAGCCAGGCCACTGCAAACGGGGAATTTTCTGTGGTTTCCTACCATGCCAGTGCCAGCTGGTTGCTGTGTCCCTTGGTGGGAGCCCACTATGGCAACAGAACCCAGCTCTTATCTTTCCAGAGCTCCACTAGCCTTCTCCAGTGGATGAATGTGCATCTCTGAGAGACCCTCACTGTGTAGGCAGGGAGGGGCATGATCTTTCCCCACAGTCCACCCACATCCCTGCCCACCGTGCCACTCTGAGCTGCCATCTAGCCCTGGAGTAAAACAAGCTCAAGGGAACACATGAGAGTGCTCAGAGTATGGGTGACTTGAGGCCAAGGCTACTTTTGACCAAGGGAAATGGTCTGATGTCCAGAATTGGTGTGGGGACACAGCCCCAGCTTGGCACAGCTGGTAGACAGGAGGGGCCTGAGGGTGGATGAGTACAAGGAGCAGGGATGAAGCAGGACAGGATGAAGGGATTGTTTAGGGAACAGGGAAGCAGTCTGCAAAGCCTTCTGAGGTGGGAGGCTGAACTCAGCTCCAGAAGGGCCAGCATGGCCGGCATGTAGCTGGAAACACCAGAAAACAGCAAGAAAAAAGGAACTTTCCCCGTAGAGATGGATCGTGAGTGATTGCTGGCAGCAGCTCCCAGCCGCTCAGGCTCTTGCTCCTGCTTCATTTTCCCCTCGACTTCCATAGCAACCCATCTGCAGTGAGGTTTAATGGGGCTGCCATTAGCACTAATGCAGCGCAAACACTCAGCATCTGCCAGCGCCTTTGGATGGAAACACAAAAATAACCGCGCTCGCCACAATCTGTCATCGACTCCGGCTCGGGGTGAGGACGCGACACGCTGGGAGGAGAGGGGAGAGCTGCAGCCAGGAGGAACGAGCTGCTGGGTGGGAAGGGAGCAAAGGAGGGGCTGCTGCCTGCTGCCCGTGCCAGCACCAGCAACGAGCTGGGGGCAGCTGCAGAGCCAGGGTCAGTGGTGCTGGCACACGGGTCTGACCGTGCCCGCCCGTTTCATGGATGAACGGCAGAAAGACGAGGCTCAACCCCGGCAATGAGTCGGACAAAGCCCTTTCATCCCTCTGCTCTGCTCAGGAGCTGGGGCTGTTGCAGGCAGGACTGAGGCTGATGCCCAGCACCCTGGGGGCTGTGCACAGAGCTGGACCAGTCCATCAAGTGTCCCAGCCAGGCCTGGGCTGTCCTGATAAAGCTGCACCAAGCTCTGCGGTGACGCATCGCTGCACATTGTTTCTGGGTGACTTGCTCCTAATTACCTTGATTAAGTGGTTGCAAACAGTGCTATTAAAAATATTTTTTTTCTATGAAAGTAGATTTCTGAAAGGTTTGTGCCGTGAATGGCAAAATGAGCCAAGAGCTCCCCAGCGCTATAGCCTTTCCCAGCATGTTTTGTGTCCTGCTGTTATTTCCGTGGCAGTGAAAGGCAGCCAGGCCTGGCTGGAGAAGGAGCTCTTTGGGGCTGCAAAGAGCCCCTGCAGCAGGACCCATCCCTGCATTCCAGAGGCTGAGCAGAAGCCCCAAGCACTGCTACAAAATGCAGTGACCTTGTGCCACCTCTGCCTGCCCTGCACATGCCCTGGTCACAAGGCCTGGGTGCCAGCCCAGCATGGGCTGCATGGAGCAACCACAATGTCCCTGGGGTACCCAGAGTTAAGCTTCAGGTGCTGCTCAGGGATATGTTTCCTGATCCCAGAGGACACATGAGACTGGGGAAACTGGATCAACATTAGGGATGAAGATGCCCAGAGCTTCTCTGACCTTTGCTTGGGAGCCCCGAGCCAAGGTCCTGGTGAGGCACCGGCATTAACATCAGGAGGTCCCTGCACCAAGTCTCATCACCCTCTTCACCTCCTCTCCACTGGCCGCTTGGGAAGAGGTGACAGCAATTCACCAGTGCTCTCATGCAGACAGGAAGACCCCTGTGAGCTCATCCTGCTCCTTGGGAACTTGTGGGACACAGAATCAGCCATCAGTGTCCACCCCACACTGGCCACAGGGCAAATGAAAGCCAAGCACGTCAACCCCTCGCCTTCTCTTTTGCTCCTCCCATCTCTTCCTCTCCACAGCAAGCCCCGGTGCCCATCACCTGTGGCAGGAAGGTCTGTGTGAGCAGCAGCAGCTCAGACTGTGAAATACCCCTAAAGCACAGCAGCACTGCCTGGCAGTGGGGCTGTCCCCAGGCTGTCCCCTCAGAGGATGCAGGGGGCTCCTCGGGCTGGGCAGGATGCAGCCCCAAGAGGAAGGGGCTGGGTGGCTCAGGAGTATTTTTTATTGCAGGCTCCATTCACACTGGGAGAAAAACAATCTTTCCTTCCTTTTGTATTATGGTTATAATTTGAGAGCATTTCCAGACAGAATCCTTCAGGTTCCCGCTGAGTGCTATCACCGCCAGAATTACAAAGTCAAATGCAATCATTAAACCCGCGTCTTCCCTCTCCCAGCCCAGATTGCTCCTTCCCCAGGAACAGCCCCCACCGCAGCTGCTGGCATGTGCCACAGACGAGCCACCGCTGCTGTCACCTCGTGAGAGCACCGAAGCCAGTGGCTGCCGGAGATGGGGAGAGCCGGAGTCTCCTCAGCCCCCACCGCTCAGAGCCGAGCTGTCAGCTCGCCCTTCACCTCCTGCCTTCTCCTCGCGGTGTGTGCAGGCTGAGGCGAGGCTGCAAACGAGCTCACAATCACTTCATTTGCTCTCATTAGCGGGGGCAGGCGGTGCCGAGCACGGCACAGCCAGCGGCCACTCACGGCGGGGACAAGGACGTGGGCAAGGAGGGATAGGACAGTGGCTCCTGTGCCACTGTCATACCAGAGGAGGGAAGGGGTGTGCACGGAGCCTTACCCGGATGTTGTCCTGCCAGTGGTGAGCCTTCTGGAATTTCTCCGCCGCGTTGGCAAGTCTCTGCAAGACAAGTGGGAGAGGAGAAATAAGCCTAGGGAAAGCAATAGGAGCCAGGCATTAGCCACAGCAGCCCAGGAGCATGGGTGCCGCCCCAACACCCAGCATCCCTGTCTGGGGGTACCTGCAGCGCCCTGCCACCCCTCTGCTGCACTGGCAAGGGGCAGGAGGAGGCAGCACCCTGGGAGGAGCACGAAGCCGGTGTTTCCTGCTTGCTCCTGCCCTTCCTGGAGCAAGCCAGTATCTCCAGAGGAATCACTGCCACTGAACGCACCAGGGCTGAGCCACTGCAGCTTGGCAGCTGTGGGCATCCCACCGGAGCAGGGCACAGGGCAAGGGCTGAACCCAGGTCTCTGTACTGACAGCCCCCAGCTCTGTGCAGAGCAGGGCAGACTCTTCAAAAATGCCTCAAAATCTCCTCAAAATGCTCCATTGCTAGGACCCAGAGGTGCACTGTGCTGCCCACCCTGATTTAACCCTTTTGCATACCCGTGCCCACACTGGGTAACCAGAGGAACAAGGATTTGCCAGAAGCAGGATGGGGCGATGCTCAGCACCAGGGCACCCCCACGGGATGCTCAGCCATGAGACCCCTCACCAGCACAGAGGGTGCAGCAGGGCAGGGCTGGAGACTGGGCAGCCCCTGGGGTACTGCAGTGCTTGGAACAAGCTGTAATCTGGTCTTTTGTGGAATCAAAGGGGATAGACAGGGCAAGAGCTCCAGGCTTTCTACAGAATCCTCTCTGCATCAGTAAGAAAATAAAGCCAAGAACAAAACAAGCACGTTTTCCTCCATCCCGCGACCAGCCCCAGGCAGCCAGGTTTGTGGGCAGCCACCTGGGGAGCTACCTGGCAGGGCTGTATAACCTGATGAGCACCAAAATCCAGTGGGAGGCAGCCCAGTATCCTGAGCAAGCCCACAGAGCCCAGGGCCACCCAGACCCCCGGGTGCTGGACACTCACTGCTAACAGGGGCACGGGGTTTGTGTCTGGTCATCCTGTATTCAGCACAGCCTGCTCCCCACCAGCATCAGCTGTCCAAGGCTCCAGGGAATACACACTGCCAGCTCTCAGCTCCAGGGGCCAATCTGTATGGGGCTGACGTGCCACGAGGCTTTCGAGGTGTTGCAGTCCCCAGAGGGCTCCCTAGAGAGTTAGTGGGAGACAGCCAAGCAAAGATGTACCTTACAGCACAGGCTCCTGCCTCGCCTGCTCCTCATTTCCCTGCAGCTGTATTTCCCCAGAGGGGGATGGACATGCTCTGCTCCACGCAAGTGGTGCTGGCAGCCAGAGCATGAGGAGAGAGGGGAGCCCTGGCTGTTTTCAGACACTGAATTGGCTGGGAGGAGGAAGGAGCACTGACAGTGGAGTGACATCTCAGGCTAAATAACAACCCCAAATCACTGCCTGGGCAGCATTGCAGAGATTCACATAACGAACACAGGATTCCCAGTGCTAGTACACACATGACTTCCATGCCATGAACCACAAATCCCAGGATGAAAAAGCACTCCTTTGCTCATCAGGCATGTGGCAGGCTGGTGAGAGCCCACAGGGGCAACAGTGAAGTCCAGCAATATCCCTGGGAAATTATTTCCCCAGGGCCTGAGCAGTGGCCAGCTATAAGAGCACACACACATAGGAGCCCTGGGCACAGCAACAGGTCACAACTGCTGTCCCCACTGTCGCCAGTTTCTCCAGCATTCCCATCAGCACACAGGGATGCAAAATGTCTCAGCCCCTCCATATGGATGCTCAGGGGAAAGGAAGCCCCCGGGTGCCACAGTGTCCCCATTGCCCATGCAGAAGAGTGGCAGCCCCAGCCCTGGCAGGGTGGCTTGAGCAGGGCTGTGGCAACAGATGCTGAATTTCTGTGAGTGTAGCAAAACACAGGCACTCAAAAGTTAGGTGAAAGACATCAGAGATCTGGCCCTCACCAGCCTGAAAATGCAGCTTGTTCTTATCAGATGCAGGGAAACACGAATCCATCACTGCATAATCTCAGCACGTACTGGTCGAAACTTTCCTGTTTAATCTTTTCTCTTTCTCTTAATCTTGATTTCCAAATCAAAGTGCTTGCTTTCAGTGGCCAGCATCCAAGGGGAAAGATCAGCTATCAGCTGAACATTAAACCAAAATCCTTATGGCTCCAGTGACAGGCAGAAGAGAATGAGAAACAACACGTGGCTGTACAGGAAAGCCAAGTGATATGAATTTTTAGGGCAGTTTTTCGTGATCTCACCTGCACAGCCACATAGACTACTGCTTAGAAAATCCTTGGCCCAATTCTGTACCTCATCCCCCCCAAGCTTTTGTGCTCTGTTTATATATTGAGATGGCTGATTAAAGACAGGCATTTATTCTGAGTCGCGTTTAAGGCAGTGGTGATGAAATATGCATTTTTCTATACTTGATAAGAGTGTGTTTGTTTATTATGGGCTGGGGTAAGATTTATGGACATCTTTAACTATTCATCGCCTTGTGCAAAGTGCCTGGAGGGTTGCAAATGGTGCAGTAAGGGACGGCTACACCCAGGAACAACACCTCGACAGAAGATATTTTTCCTCTGGAAAATGTCAATTTGTCAAAGTCAAACCAGACACAATTTTGGTTAAAAAAAAAAAAAAAAAGAAATCCAGATGTTCTTGTTTGATAAATAGCACGTTGCAGGAATGGGGGAGCCCACAGCAGGATGGCACAGCCACAGAGGGGGCTGTGCAGGCTCCTGGTCATCACTGGATATTCACCCAGGAGAAGTGCCCCCAGAGCCCTCCAGCTGTTGCTCCTGGAGCATTTTCCTCACTAAAGACAGTCCCATGAGCAGGATGGTGACTGGGAGGAGAGATGGGCCAAGTGGGCAGCCAGCCATCCTTCCTCTGCAACAGGGGATCCTCTGCAGGGGACAGACCCGGAGTGAAGCCATGTGGGGCTCCCATGGGAGCAGTCCCATCCTGTCACATGGTGACTGGTGCTAGAGGGAGCCCATCCAGCCCCTGCCCAGATGGGCTACTGTCATGAACAGGATGGGTGATTGCTGGATTCAGGACCCTTCAAAACTGTGCCAATAACAATGGGACCCCAAGGGGGCTATCTGGGACAGCAGGACCTGGAGCTGTTTGCTAGGACAGGGTTTGTTGCTGCTCCCACAAACCCCACTGATGGCTCCCCAGGGAAGGTGATGGGTCTGCCTGAAGCCACACACTGCAGGACGTGCCCATTAATGCCAAATGAGTTCATCATGAATAATGTTATTGTGATCGATACAGCTCAAGGATTATTTCGAATCCTTTATAATGATTAAATCATTATTTTTCAAGTGTTACAGATCAATCAGACCAGCTCAAGGTATGCTGCGTGCAGGGACTGTGAGATGCCCAGGAGGCAAGCAGTGCACTGGAGAGCCTGGCAGGGTACAGGGCAGTCACCAAAACCTCTCCAAATTTCAGACCTGGGGTGGTCAGCTCTGGGGTTCAAACAGCAATAAAAAATAGTGGAATTACCAAAAGTAAAGCATGGGTGTGAAATACCTGCGGATTTCCAGCAGGCTGTGGTGCAGAGACTGCCCTGGCACTTTAAGGAGCATGGTTCTTTCCTCAGAAGTCATCCAGGGCTAAGGACAGGAGATTTAGAGGCTGAAAACACTGAATTGAAACGACTCTGAAGGTCATGAAAGGCCAGCAGGAGATTTGCAAGGGATTGGTGTCTGGAGATCCCGACAGTAGGGTGTGTGAGGAGGAAGGTGCTGCATGTGCTTATCGTGGCCCAGACTCATTTGTATTCTGCATGGAGCTCCTCCCTGCCTCGCTGCTCACCAGGGCAGATCCATCAGGAGCTCCTTGCTCAGCACACCAGCTCACTTGGGATTAAGGAGCCTTGGGGAAGCCATGGACTCGGGATGGGCAGGTGGCAGCAAAGGTGGCACGGCTGGGCACACTCCCTCCCTCCCAAAAGATGGGCAGGAAAGGAAAGGGGCAACAAGGTGGGTGACCATCTGTCTGCCCAGAGGATGGCAACTCCAGGCACATGGCTGCTGCTTTTCCCTGCCTTTGCTCCAGAAGGTTGCTGCTCACCCCACAAGCTCCCTCACCCCACCCTGAGCATGGCTCACCCATGTGTGCTCGCCCCTAGCAGCACCTTTTGGGGTCAGCTGGTCTGATGCCCTGATGCTGGGAGTGCAGGGAAAGCCTGGAGCACCAGACCTGGCACAGGCAAGGACCACAACCTCCTCTCTAGTGGAGGGGACCATCCCTGCTGTTGGCATCCCCACTGCTTGAGAGGCCAGCATGCAGGAGGATTGTCTCTGATGGAGTAGACACCCAAGGGTGATGCTCACCTCCTCCCTGTCACCCCTTCTCCCCCATCACACTTGGGGCTACCTGCATTGCTCTGATATTGTTACACAGACTCTTTCCAAAGGAAACTGGTCCAATATTTACTAAATCTCTTCTCCCAGCCCCACCATGGCAATAAGCATGCCCTGGCTGCTCCTGCCTCACTCAGATCAGTGGGTTTAACTTGGGAAGCAGCAGAGCAGAGCCCAGTGAGGCCAAAGACCAAGGCTGGATTTATAAAACAGGATTACAGCAAACACTCTGCAGAAGGAGACTGAGCAGCTCTGTGTAACAGCAGCTATGGCACCCCTGTGCCCAAGCCTCCACACAGGTGCCCAAAGCCTGTGTGGATGCTGGGGGATGCTCCTTAGGCAGTCTGGGATGTTGTCCCTGGCTTCTCCCCACAACCAGTGTGGAAGCCCCAGCCATGCCCATCACACAGCAGCTGTGTGTGCCCAGGGATGTTTGCTCCAAGGGAGAGGCTCCTGCTAAGCCTTCATTTAACTCCCTCAGCCAGACTCTTACCACCCTCATCACAGCACCTTGCCCAAGGCTCTGAAGTGCCTTTACCTCCCGCAGCTCAGCACATTGCTGGAGATTCAAACAGCCCTGCACTACCAGGCTGGGGAGTGCCACACAGCATCACACCTTCCAGCCCTCCTCCCAAGGCAGGAAAATGCCAGTGAAAGGTTAAGGCAAGAAGGTGAAATCAAACACACGTGACAAAGCCGAGGAACCCAAGCCCCAGGCAGGAACACCCCCAGGAGCTGGTTTTGCAGCTCTTCCTCCTCCATAATGAAGGAATGAGGGTGGCACAAGCTATCTCCTCTGGTACAAGCCCGTCTTCCATAGACAGGGCATCCTGAAGCCTCACCTGCTGCTGCACAGCATCTGGAAAGGCAGAAGCCCATTCCACATGCTTCACATGTCTCCATCCTTTCTGCCTGCATGCAACAAGGCAGAGGGCACTTTCTCATGGTCCCATCCCCAGCCACCAGCTCCAGAGTGCCTCCACCCCAGCTCTCCATCTCATCCCCAGCACGTTGTCTGCCCGTTCACGGAATTCACTCCTAAGCAAACCCTACCACCAGCGTACACATCACCGTCAAAAAATGATCAACCAGTGACAAAAGACAACAACCCCCTTATGTACACATAGGGAATATAAATCTTGAGTAAACACTGCAAAGCAGTGAAGCATCTCATCCTGTAATAATCTCCGAGACAGTTGATCCCAGGGCTCTTATTACCCCCACAGCCGTCATCTGAAATCCAGTCGGCAGCAGCCTCAGCCACGGCTCAGTATTGATCATGGAGGCAGCTTCAAATATGCTGTGGCATTTTTCTTTCAAAGCACTAACTTGTTTGTCAATAACTCCCTTGGCTGTGTGGAAAGAGAGGAATGGATAGAGCCTGTCTCTCCTCCCTTGTGCCTGGATCCAGCCTGTGCATGAGGGATGATGGGGCTGGAGCCAGCACTGGCTGCTAACATTCTTCTGCTCATGGGAGGGCAAATAAAGACCCAGGGACTAGCAAAGAGCACGTGGGAAATCCTCCAAGGGCTCCCAGACCTTGGTTCTGTACCACCTGATGCTCGCTGCTGGGGTGTGGCAGGGCAGGGAGCAGGGACACCTCTGCAGAGCCAGCCCTGCCAGCAGTGAGGTCACAAGTGCAAACCTGGAGCTAAACCAGAGCCAGAGCTGCTGCAGACCCCATCCGGGCAGTAGCACAGTCAGCATCTGGCACTGGGGGCCTGGGATGAGCCCCAGAGCCACAACTTCCATCATTTTACTGAGCACCTCAGTAACTCATGGCTCTGCAGGCCAGCAGCATGTGGCTCTTGTTCTGCTGTCAGCATTTCTCATTTCTCCTTCTCCAGAGACACAATTTTTTACCAATGGGAAACACTGGCACCATCCCAACAGGCACAGGGAGGGGAGGAGTGAAACATCCCAAGAATCCCAACATCCCAGCATCCATGGTACCAATATCTTTGCAGAGATAAGGAGGAAAGGGAGAGCATTGTTGCTCAGGGTGTTTCTCCTACCCCAAAATATTGCTCAGGTGTCCAGAAGGGCTTAACTTCCCACAAAGAGCAAAGCACCAAGGGCAAAAGGACAGTGCAGAGAGCCAGGCATCCAGCAGCTCGAGCCCTGCCTGGTGCTCTCTTCTGCACTTCTCCCCTTGCAGAAAAGCCTCTCTCTGTTACCCTCCTCCTGAAGTTCCTGTGCTCCATGAGGGTGGATACTTTCTTTCCAAAATCACAAGCAGAGAGCAGCTCTGCCCCTGCTCCCTGTCACCTAGGAGGGGAAGAAGAGGGCAGGGGCACTGTGCCCTGTAAACCCAAGGGGACACTTGCCCCTGGGGACCAGCAATAGCAAAACCTCAGCTCAGCTGCTCAGACCCTCCTTGGCTCCTGCCCTATCCCTCCTCGGGGAGGAAGGCTCACACCAGGGTGCAGGATCTGTCCCCTCCTCCATCAGCAGGGACAGAGCTGTGGGAGGCAGGATGGAGAGATGAGGCCAGGAACAGGTGCAGGCAGGCTTGGCCTCTCTCACTGTCCCTTTCCTCTGAGTGGAGTTAGCAGAAGGAGCATTTGGCCACACTAGCATTGCCTCATCCAGCATCCTCCTGCCTTTCTCCCTGGACATATGGCAGCAAACTTTGCTCTTGCATTAGAGATGACTTTAAACACTAAGTTTAAAGTACTGCTAAATATCATCATGCTCAAGTCCTGCTGGAATGTGCTGCTGTCCGGCTTTGGGATGCAGGTGGTCCCTTGGGAAGCCAAACCAGGCACACGTGCCTGCTCTGCTCAGGATATGAGAAAAATCCTTTTCCTCCATCTCCTTTGCCATGCTATTTGCAGTAGCCTTTTGCATCTTCTATAGTTGATGGGGAGGAAAGCAGGGACTTCTGCTCTGAGATCCTAACCTTCAGCCAGAGGAGAGCCAAGCAGGAGTATTCAGGTGCCCTGTGGCAGCACAGTTCTCCAAGCTGTCTGTGCCCAGCAACTCTAAATGGTGCTCATTTCACACATCTTGATCTCTTTTGGAGAAACAGTTCACAAGATGAGCAAGGCAGAGAAAGCCCAGTCTGTTCTTAAAGGAAGTTCCTACCATTTCCACAGTAGTCAGACCAGTAAAGTCTAAAATTCTGGCTGTCAAGGAAAAATGTCTGTCTTGGGATGAAGCTGGAATATTGGTGGCTGCCTCCCAGGAGGTGCTGAAGAGCTGGGGCATGTCAGCAGCATCCCAGAGGGGTGATGGATACAAACCACCTGGGAAACGTGGCCCCAGAGCTGTTTCTTGGGTGTGGGTGGGACAGATGTGTCCCAGCAGTGTCAGGGCTGTCCATTCCAATCCAAGCCCCTTGGTGGTTGGCTACCAGGGTAAAAGCCTGGTAGGTGCTGCTACCCACAGGTCTTATTGCCTGCTTTGCCAGGGTCCTGCTGTGGGCTGGGAGACAGCAACAGAGGCAGGGCAGGTGAGCTACTGGGCACTAACACAGCATCCTGGCACAGTGCAGAGCATCTGCCAGAGCTCTGCCATGACTGCAAGGGCTTGAGGACTCTCCTGCTGGGTGACAAGCAGCTGCTTGCTGCACAACAAAGTTTCAGATGACCAGAAATAATTCAGGTCAAGATGTATTAGCTGGAAGGTCAGAGCTGGGAAATGTGACAGCAGCAATTCACCAAGCTGTGGAGGAGGAGACAGCGCTGCCCTGGGCTCCTTCCAACTCCTTTTCCCCCATGCCAGTGTGCTGTGGCTCCCATGGGATGGGTGACTGAAGGGACATGGTTCCCACAAAGGATTTTGGGAGATGGTCCCTTCTGGCATGAAGTCCCAGGGCAGGCTCAGCTTCTGGAGTGTTGGAAGGGTCAGTGTGTTAGTCACAATCTCAGCCCACTGCTCCAGCCCCATCTCCTCCCAAATATACTCCAAACATTCAAACAAACCGTGCTCCCTAATATCCTATAGACCTCCTGCTACGATCATCAAGAAGGACTTGTCACAGTTCAAAATCCATTACAAAAACCACAAGGCATTTCAGCAGCAATTATAAAAGATAGTTGCACTTAAAAATCAATTTTATTTGGAGCTTGGAGGAACAGGGTTTTTTAAAAATAAAGGAAAAAAAGAGGAAATGATACAGCTTGTCACTTGGGCAGGAGGAGGAGGAATTTGCCTGGCCAGGTCTTAGTGGCCAGAGTCTTCAAAGAAAAAAAATAAATCCTTCCTTATCATTATCCTTGAGTATTTTGGACAAATAAGTTCCATGTGAAGATGAGAAGAAGTTCAAGGAGTGGCTCTCCCTTCCCTGTGGTTCCCTGTATGGCGCCAACAACACAGAAGCTCCTGTGAGATGCAGGAGGGCATCCCTGAAAACCCAAAATGCAGCCTGCATCCTGGCAGGCCCCTGACTCCCTGCTCCAGGGGCATGAAGCCTTTTGTGCCTTTAAAATCCTCCCCTTTAGCTCTCTGCCTTTCATTCAAGTGGAGGCTGTTGAAAGTTTGTACTGGAAACCACTTACAATCAATTTATTTTAAGGCATCACCTCTTGCTGCGCTGTGATGTGCAGGCTTTAAAAAGCACCTCGTTTATTATCTGCTGCCACGTGGGGATTTCCATGTGGCACATCCCAGTGCAGCTCCTCTGCTATCAGGTTTTTATGCTAAGGTAGATTTTCAGTGTGCACAAATTCCCACAAGAGTGCCTCAAAATACCACAACTCCGAGAGAAATCCACAAAACTTCTCAGCTTGAAACCCTCCAGGGACACGTGTGACATCTTTCTGATGTCTTCTAGTGCCATCAGCCACCCTCCTGCAGCCTGAGAGGGGTCAGACACACTGAGCAGGTACTCAGGCCTCCACTGTCACTGTGATAGGAACACAAGCAGAGTAATTGACATTGGCAGTTTTAAACACCAAAAAAAAAGCAGTGCAGAAAGTCACAGAAATGACGTTTTAGTGGTATTTTGCTCTAAAACCAAGGACAATAGCTGGAACTAGCTTTGCTCAAGCTTTCAGAAAAACAGCAAAGAAGCCCCAGTGGCTCCAGGTGAGGTGGGGAAGTTTCAGGGGGGTGGGAGGGAGCAAGTTCAGAAGGCCACCAGATGGCTGTTCCCAATGTGACAGCACACAGTGACCTCAACACTCACCCACCTTCCCCTGGAATTTCCATGGGGCAAGGGGCAGCCTCCAGAGCCAGGAGCCATTCTCATCCCCCTGGGACTCCGTTTTTTGAGATCAAGGTGCTCACTCCCCCTCTCCTGGCCCTTCAGTCTCCTGCTCTTGGCAAAGCTCAAAGCTCCAGCTCTTCAGGCCTCAGTGCTCTTTGTCAAGATGTCCCAGTGTGCCTTCCCACTCCTGTGCCTTCTTCATCAAAGCCCCAGATCCTCATACAGTATTTCCCTTCAGTCCCCATCTCTACGTTGATGCTTAAGGACCAACCACTGGACAAATCCAGGCTATGCTGATGGAGCAGGATGGTTGCTGCTTTGTTTTTGTTCTCCATTCACCTATTCTCTCTTGTCTGGAGCCTAAATTTCACTGTTGTTCAACTCTGCATTTTTACAGCCCAGCAAGCCCCATTTATGGCCCAGCTTCCTCAGTTACAAGGAAAGAAGGAATCAAACAGAAGAGAACCACCACCATGGATGCAAGGGAGTCTGATGTATTCAAGACCAAGCCCAGGCCCTGGCAGATGTATCCATTCTACTTCACCCCCTACCTCCCTATTTTCTGGTTTACACAGACTTCTGATGTTATGTTACAAGTAACATAACTGGCCCAAAGAACTTCAATACAGGTACTCTTGTGACTCCATTATTGCCTTAATTTCTTCATTTTGTTCCTTCTCTTTGCTTGTGCAAGGAAAGCAACTCTCATTGCCTACTGCAAATCTGGCTCCTGCCTGGAGGATGTGATTGATGCTCAGATAGTGATGGTGCTAATAAAGCCCCTGTAAGGAGAGCTCAGCTTCTCTTCCCCTCCTGCAGCAAGTGTGACTGCCTTCCATTCCCATGGGGAATAAAGAGAGACCCAAGCCAAAGAGAAGGACTCAAAGCACACGTCCTGAAATCAGGACAGCTTATCACTACACACATTTCTTAGGCTTTGTGTTTATTAATTCTTCCTGAGATATGTCCTCACTGCAGACCAGCCCCCTGAGAAGCCTCTCCCTTCCCTGAGGCACATGGAGACCCTATAGCCCTCCTTTGGGGTCTGTGTTTGTGGGGAGAAATCCTTCCCAGCTCAGGTTTTCCCTGTGACAACGCTGGGCTGACACAGCAGCTCCCCAAGGGAACCTGCAGTGCCCTTCCCTCTGTCCTGCTCCAGGAACATGTTTTGCTGGTTCTGTTAAACCCAAAATTCAAGGCAACTTGACACTTTCTGTTTTAAAGACTGAGGTGGGGGAGGAGAAAGTGTGGAGGAGCTTCCCTAAGGGAAAAGCCATCAAGTGGAACAAGTTTTCAACAACTACATGTTTCTTGACCTTTTCCACAGTCATATCTTTAATGTTTCATGGACGGATATGATAAAAAAGAAAAAATTAATAAAATAGATTTCATTTTTAAAAAAAGGTCAGGACATGTGTTACAGGGAAAAACTCATTTAGGTTCCTACCTGCCAAGGAGCCTTCCCCTGCCTCCCACCCCGAGCACTCCAGCCCAGGCATCTCCTTTCCCCACCTTCCTTTTCATCACATTCAGGGCTTGACCTCTTCTGGACTTTTCCTTTCCCTGCTAGACATAGAATCAGGTACCATAAGCATTCAGAAATGCTGACAAATGCTTGGGAGTCACAAATATTTGGTGGGATGTTGCACATCTTCCTTGGAGAGGCAGCCAGTGAGCCCAAGTGCTTGTCCAGCCTCAAGCACAGCTCTTCTACCTGCAGCTGCTCAACCTTGAGCCCAAAATTCTCCCCAAATATCTCGACAGATGTTAAGGCTGTTGCCATGCCCAAGCCATGCACAGCAGAATACCAACATCTGCAGTCTCTTGTCCATCATTTCATGGCTCCTGCACCCACCCCATGAGCATCACCCATGGATAATCACATCCCTTATCCCATGTTCCTGTGGAAAGGAACATGGATCCCATCTGCTGTGTCTGAGCTCAGACTTGTCGAGGGCAAGCAAAGCAAAATAAATTCCCCAAGCACAGAGCCAATTCCTGCTGATCAAGATGTTTAAAAAAATAAATGTTATTTAATAGCAGCTCCATCCTGGCTGGCCTAGTGGATGTTCCCAGAGACTCAGAAACAAAAGCAGCCTGGACGCTATGGACATTTCTATTATTAAGCCCACTCTGCAATTAGAGCAGACTTCTGTCCAACTTCTGCCTCTTTTCACCATTCCCTCAATTTTTTTTATTCACTAAGAACAAAATATTATTCATCAAAGTTTGCAAAAAAACCTGCGAATGGCTGCGATAACATCATACTAAGTTATTAAGTGGTGACAATGGGGGACAATTACAGTATATAGTCCATTATACAGCACTGCCGTGGGGATGAATCAAAGTAAAACACCCTGTGAATGGCGAGGAGCTTATTAACAGGAACATTGCTATGCCAGAACAAAATACCTGCCTTCAGCCCCAGAGTTAGTGCTGAGCTGCTGCTGGCAGGGACTGAGGAGGAAAGTGGTGGAAAGGGCTGGCAGCTCCACTGAGGCATCAGCCCCATGGATTGCTCCTCAGTGCTTAAATATGGAAAAAGGGCAAAACCTCTGTCCTGGGCCACCACCATGCAGTGTCTTCCCCTCTAAATCTGCTTCTGGAAGGCTCAGGAGATCTTTGCAACAGCTCAGCCAAGCACATGAGACAAGGATTTCCCTCAACTCCCATCAGGATCAGGAGCATCCTCTCTGTGCTCACCAGCAGCCCAGAGAGTATCTCACCCCTGCCTTTCAGGGGTGTTCTACCACATCAGCAAGTCTTTGCAAGCCCCACTCAGAGGTGTTGGGCACATGCCAGACTCCCTTTCCCCATCACCTGAGGCTGCTCCTTGCCTGCAGCAGAGGTGAGGAGAGCCATGATGCTGGGAGATGCATGAACTAAATTATCTGTGAAAATTCTCTTTGTTGGGAAGGGAAATGAGTAAGCAAGCTGCATGCCTTCTTCCAGAGCACAGCAGCAGAATTCCCAGGTTTGGGTGTGCTCAAGGACTAACCTGTGGGAAGAGCTGGTTTTATGCTCTTCCTCCCAGGCTCTGCAGCCCCCTCACACCTGGATACAGTTCAGATAGGTCCTGTCCCTTCCCTCTCTGCTGGCCTGAATTCTTGCCAGTGGTGAAACCCTGCTCTCCTTTGCCAGTGCTGGGTTTCCTGCTGCTCCAGCAGCTCTGGTTTGCTCCTTCTAAGATGTTATTTTTACACTTCCCTTAAAATACAACACTAAGAGAGGCTTCTTGACTATATTAACATTAGGAATCTAATCAGCAGACAGCTCATAATTTTCTGATTAGCTCTGATTATACTCAATCTTTAGGAATAGAAAAAAAAAAAAAAGATGGAAAGAGGAAAAAACTTAGAAGGAAAAATATAAAAATATTCTCTGCTCAGTTTTCCCACCCTGATTCCCTTGACAAGGCACAGAGTCATAGGAAGAGCTCTGCTGTTCCCAGCTAAGAAGGAACATTGCCACAGTGATCAGTATTAGTCAATAACCTAGTGCCATCACACTGCTGATCTCCATCCTTCCAGGCTGGGATATTGTCCCAGAAAGGGGCTGCTCAGGGAATGGAGAAGACATCAAGGGTGCCAGAGCTTTTGACAAACCCAGAGGAGTGTTGCAATCTCTGCTCTCAGGCCAAACATCTCCAATAATCTGCTAAAAGACAGGGTAAAAGGATGCCACAGAGAAAGGAAATGATGTGTGTGTATCCAGCTGGCTTCAGCCTGGAGAATGGACCCTCTCCAGGTGATGACAAGGAAGAGGAGGAGGCTGAAGAACTTTGTGAGATGAGGTCATGGCCACACACCGGGTTGGCAGGAGACGATTGGTGCTTTGTGGCAGCCCAGAGAGAAAGATCCCAAGGATTCAGGATCTGAGCACTGCCAGAAGGTGGGAGGAAAATGAGCACATGGCCTGAAGGCCCCGGGCAGGAGCAGGCAGATTTACCTGCAGAGCAGGCAGCAGGAGCAGGAATGGCATCTCCTCTGAGCATCTCCAGCATCCTACAACAGCAGGGCTTTTGTGAAGGAGGAGAAAGGGATGTCCTAGTGCTGAGCCCCACAGCTGCAGCCAGAAGGGAGGAAACTGAGGAACAAGTCAGAGGAAGGAGATCTAAACCAACCCCTCTAACAGAGTTAATCACTCGCGTGCACTCTGCGTAGGAGATTCACTCCTGACTGCAGCACGCCATCAGTTGATGCTGTGAAGCATGAGATTTAATTATTTGTATCATAGCCATGGCCTGCATAACTACAAATGATATTAATGGTGATAAAATTGTCCAGCTGGTTCTTCAAACCCATCACCACCCTGACTCGCTGCCTCCCACGGCAGGGATGTGCTGCCTTGCCGGGACCGCTCGCGCTGCAGCACAGCCTGCAGCACAGCCTGCAGCACAGCCTGCAGCACAGCCCATCCACCCAACAGACACCATCTGGAGCGACCATCCCATACCCACACGGCATGGCTGAGCATGGAGCATGTGCTTTGTGACTTGAAGGCGGCCTTGGTAATGAGAGGTGCTCTGTCAGAGCACTGCCTGGCTCTGTATTTGCAGCAGCTCAGCTGAACCTCTGCAGAGCTCAGGCCTGCTTGCAGGCTGGGCAGACACTTTGCTGGGGAGGAGAGGGCAGCCCCATCTCCCTCCAGGCTGCCCCTCAAGGGTGCTGGCACTGCTCCTCACCTTGGTCAAACCAAGTGAGTTACAAAGATCTGCACTAAGCAATCAACCTGCTAAAAACCAGAGAGCAGCAAAGTAGAGTAGGACAGAACAGAACAGTTCAGGTGGAAGTGACCTGAGGTAATCATCTTGTCCAATTGCAAGACTAAGGGACACCTGCCTACTTTAAATCCAAAGAATTCAACTGTCAAAGTAAATGGCCCAGGTCAGAGCAGAATAGCCACAGTGCTCCCAGCAGTGTGATGCCACTCTCCTGCAGAACTCCTTGGCTGAGACCTCCAGTCACTTTTACCATGACTTTAAAGAAAAAAGCTTGAAATCCCCACTTGAACTAAACTCTGCAGAAGCTCCAAACACCCCAGGGCTTGGCTCTCCCAACATGCTTCACCACATGATCCTAAGTGGGCAGTGGGGTTACCCTATCCCCTTCCAGCCCAGCAAAGCAGGTGAGGCCCAGAAGGAGGTTGTACCTGCACTGGAGATAACAACAGAGGGGACTGATCCCTCTCATGTGCTGGGACTCAAGCCCTGGTGTCTCCCATAGCAGACACAATGCTCAGCACCCAGTGGGACTCTTACTGAATTATCTCAGTGCACACACTAAAACCCACCCCAGTTCCCATGAAAAGGTGTCCCCACTCCTTGCTCTGGGTAAGTCTCCTCCTCACACTCCAGCCACAACCACAGAGTTCTCTTTCATGAAGAGACTGCCAGAGCTGTAATTACTTTGAGGTGACCTCTAGGAAAAAAAAAAGTTCAAGTTTAAAAAGAAAATCTCTCTGGTTAATGCTATGCAAATTGCCAGCGAGGCAATCAGGCTGACTTTTAAACACTGGCCCCTGTCGAAGGGCTCACAAGACAGTCTTATTGTCTTGCTATCAATTTGCATCTCATTACCCACAATGCGCCTCTGGTTGGAGGTAACCTTTTGGGGAACACGCCGCGGTAGTGAGGAGCCCAGGGACACTGTGGTCACTCCTGTTTGCAGAGCTTTCATGTGACACCCAGCACCTGAAATGTGATGGGTGAGGGGCCAGGTCACTGCCAGCCACCTGCTGGCCTTGTGCCAGGCACTGTGACCTTGTGCCACTTCGGCCACCTCCTCGGAGGGCTCTGCCCATGCTGGCTGACCCATGGGCACAGGAACATCGTGTGTCCTTCCCAGCGGGCTCGCCAGCCCCTGTGGTCCCCAGAGGCTGTGTGGTAGCAGTTTGTCTCCACCCGACTGATCAAGGCCATTCAAGACGTTTCTGAGAATCTTTGCATGCTTTTGCACATCTCTGCCAACCCTCCCCACCTTGGGGAGATGGTACCAAAATAGCATTTTTTGATAGGAAGCAAATCTGCCGTGTCCTTGTCCTCAGCCTGCTCCTGCTTCTTCAGCCTCCCCAGCCTGTGCTGCAGTCTCCCACACCAGGTGCCTCCACCTTCCTCTCCATCCCCACCAATCTGGGGTGACAAAACCAAGTTCTCAGCAATCATCTCACCTACATGAATCACTGATGCCCTGACTAAGCTGCCCTTAACATGCTGCTGCAGGGAGGCTGCCTGGCCCCATCCCAGGTTACTTGGCTGCACCCCACTGCCACCTGCAACAAGAACCTTTCGTTCTCCAAGACAGGAGCAAGCCACAGGTCTCCATGTCCCTTTTGTAAGGTCATTCATCCAGCTCAAGCAGCCAGCATGGGGATCCTACCTCCAGGATGCTCAGCCTGTGCAAGCTGCCTTGGGTACCTCTGCAGCCAGCTCAGGCAGTGGCTGGGAAGCTGCCCAGTGGAAAAGGACCTGAGGGTGCTGGTCAACAGCAGCTGAACGTGAGCCCAGGTGGGCAAGAAGACCAATGGCAACGGGCTTGGATCAGTAACAGTGTGGTCACCAGGACCAGGACAGTGACTGTCCCCCTGTACTGGGCACTGGTGATGCCACACCTCGAATCCTGGGTTCAATTTTGGGCCCCTGATGACAAAAAAGACATTGAGGAGCTGGATCACGTTTAGAGAATGGCAATGGATCTGGGGAGGTGTCTGGTGCACAGGTCCTATGAGGAGTGGCTGAGGGAGCTGGGGGGGCTCAGCCTGATAAAAAGGAAGCTCAGGGGGGATCTTCTCACTCTCTACAACTACCTGAAAGTTCTAGACAGGTGGCTGTTGGTCTTCTTGCCCAAGGAGCGAGCAATAGGACAAAAAGAAAGGGCCTCAAGTTGTGTCAGAGCAGGTTTAGATTGGATATTAGGAAAAACTTCTGCATTAAAAGGATTGTTAAGCATTGCAACAGGCTGCCCAGGGAAGTGGTTGAGTTACCATGTCTGGAGGGATTTAACATGTGGTAGATGGGGCACTTGGGGACGTGGTTTAGTGGTGAACATGGTGGTGTGGTCAGGTTAGAGTTTGTACTCTGGTCTTAGAGCTCTTCTCCAGCCTAACCAATCCTATGGTCCAGCCAAACTGCTGACACAGCACAAGGCCCTCCTGCCCTGGCAGACCCTGGCAGCAGCATCCCCACCTCCTCCTGCCCCCAGGCTCAGCCAAGAGGACCCCTCGACAGCCCTGTGCTCCCTGCAGCACCAGCACTAGCACCAGCTGGGGTCTCACTCGCCGTTTTCCTTCTCTCCAGGAGCTGTGCAGTGTGAGAGCTCCCTGGGGAGCTCAGAGCTGCCCTGCCCAGCCTTTGGCATCCTCCTGGACGTGCCTGGCATGGCCGTGTTGCTAAATGCTGGCACAGCCCTCTGCCAATGCACGGTGCCATCTCTGCCACCACGGCCAGGGGTGCCACGGCAACAAAGGGACTTCTAACAGGCCAGAGAGCACCACTGCGAGGAAGAAAACCCAACTGCTTAAAATCCTCCTGAATAATGGTGCTGCCTCCCTGCTGCTCAAATCAGATGCAGCACTTTGTTGTTATGATAACTAAATACAGAAGATTTGAACAGCTGGAAACGCAGCAACAATATTTAAGACAAGTCTTTAAAAAAAAATTGTTGGTCTTTTATTCAATAATGGTAATGGGCTTTTTAGTGTTGTTATTATTATTTTTGATTTTAAAGGCACAAGGCCCTGCTCTGGTGTCTTTGCAGTGCTGGTCATGCTGCGGAGCCAGCTCTCACCTGGTGATGGCAGGGAATAACTGAGACATTCAATAACACCCAGACACGGGGCTGCTCCAGGGAGTCACCAGACAGAGGCATGGAAATCACAGCTCCTGCTCCAGCACCCTGCTCAGCACCCTGCACCTCACTGACATGATCCAAAGGTGCAAAACCCAAAGGTGCTGCAGGAGAGCAGGGGAGCCAGGCAGCAATAACAGAAGCAGAGGTGCCAGCTCCACGCCTGCTGAAGGGGAGGGCTGGAGGCAGCTGTGGCTGTTATCAGCTCACACCCTCAGGTACCAGAGCCCTTTCACCCTTGGAGCAAGGCAAAGCACTCAGTCATGTTCGACTCCACGTTGATAACAGGCAGGATGTGTTGGGGGAACCGAAATGCTGGAGAGGGGGGTTTGGAAACGTACTGGAATGAAAAGAAACCTTCTGAACCAGGGCATGCAGGCCTCACTTGCCCACACAGATATTCAGGGGGTGACTGCACCTCTCAGGGTGTTTTAGGGGTGCAGGAGCACAGACCTAGCTGACATTCAGGCTGCAGGGTCAGACTTTATGAACCATCTGGATGAGACACAGTGAGCCAGCAATGACTGATGGGACACACAGTTCCAAATGTTCCCTACAGGGATGGGACCCTCTCTCCTTCCTCCTGGACCTGCAGAGCCCATGACCTGATGGTCCTTCCTCTTACATTAATCTTGAAAGATGCAGCATAAATAATTTGGTGTGTAACTGCAAAGAATTAAGACAATCCAACCAGTGTAAGTGTAAATAAAACCAGATATTTTACGATGTAGTATTTTGAGTTGTGGGTTGGTTTTTCATACATTGAGCTGTGCCAGCTCCTGAGATGCAGCTGGCAGCCGCTCTCCCAGACACCAGTGAATCACATTGTCATCCTGCCCTGTGACCCAACATCCCCATGTGGCTTCAAGTGCCCACAACACTGAGTTAAGGCAGAAAAGCTGCCTGACAATGGGATATCTGGGAATGCACCTTGTGTCAAGGCCCTTGTTGCTTTGGGACTGTGAATCCTGGAGCTGGCAGCTGAAGGGGATGCCTTGGAGAGCCCAGGCAACAAATCCACTGTGGCTCTTCCATGAGCCAAACTGGACCATCAGTCATGGCAGTGTCAGGCATTGCTCCAGCAGGCAAAGCCTCCCATGAGGTCCCCGGAGGAGCACAGAGGGAGACAAGGCTCCCAAGCATCCCTTTGGCAGCTCTGCTCTTGCTCTAGCACACCCAGCCCTGATCTTGCCCTCACCCACACAGCTATGGCATGGTCCCCACAGCCAGCAGCAATTGAGGTGTCTGAGCACACATGCTACTACCAGCATGCTGAGAGACCACCATCAGCTCCTGAGCCAGGATAAACCAGGACCTGGGCTCCAGGTCCTGCAGCAGCCACCCCTATCCCCGTCCTGTTTGCTGAAACTTCAAAGCAAGGGACATCCCCTGCCCCATACAAGACCACTTACCTCAAAACTACTAAAATCACCATGGGGCTCATTACTACAGAGCTCAGTACTGCTGAAGAGGTCTGGAAAAAATAAACCAGGGTTTGGAAGTACCAGCAAAAGCAAGGCAAGGAGAGCAGCTCCTTCTGCTGCCCTGGTTTGGGGGACAGGAACCTGCTGCAGCTGGGAGCCCCAGCCAGCGAGGAGGGGCAGTGTTATAGGGTGTTTATTTGGATGAGACAGGACGATCAGGAACCAAGGGGAAAGGACAGAAACATGAAAGTGGAAGAAGTGTGGGGAGAAAAGGAGGGGCTGGGTGGGGAACAGGAGAAATGGCAGAGGGAAGCAGGGAGGAGGAGCTGGAGCTGACAGGGAGGACAGCACTATTCCAATGCTTTATTCTGAGGCCCTGGTGCCCTTCACCCTGATGCCTATTTAATGTCATCCTATTCAGCAAGTGTCCCCATGATCTGGTAATTATCTTTTACTTACAAAAGAGCATCTCTGTGTCACAAATGCTCCTTTTTCTGGCTCTGCCACAGATCAATATCTCCTCAAGGCCTTCGCCATTGTTTGGGGAATGGAATTGATTTCTCTGAGGAATGGGGGGAGGGAAAATATATAAATAAGTGGTGCAGAGATGTGTCTCTGCTGAAGGCTGAGCTGGGCAGTGGCAAAGCAGAAGGAAAGTGTTCATATCTGACCATTGCAGGTACTGCATCCTATTGCTGTCCCTGCTGAACCAGCTGCAGGGGAGATTTGGTTGTTTGTCATTCAGAGCACATTCAAAATGCTGGAGCCAGAAGAAATATCTAGTTCAAGGTATCACCAGCTTTCCAAGATTTTACAGCAGAGTAAGAAGTCTGGAGGTGCTGATTCAACACTGTCCATTAGGACACATACATGTCCAATGTTAGGGTTGAAGCAGTTGCTGCTGTGACCTTGGTGGGCCCCAGAGAGGAGCCTTGGAGACATCCTTGGCTTAAAGAGCAGCACTTTGGTGTGACCAACACGGCACCAGCACTGAAACTGAGAGCAAGGCAAGAGCCACTGAAGCACGCTGCTGTGGGGCTGGTGTCAGTGTGAGCACAGCAAGCATGAGCTCCCCCCGGCAGCACAACCCATACACCCTTCACGGTCCTCTCATCTGGCTGGAAGATGACCTTCAAAATCATGAGATACAGGATAAATACAATTCGATCTGGTGCTTGAGTCGGGGTTGCTAAATCTTTGGAATCTCTGAGCTGATCCTCTCTGCACCACACAGCTCCTGCAGCCAGTGGCTCCAGGGTGCCAGAGAACAGCGTGGGGCAGAGGTAAACCTGCTCCCCTGGCTCACACTACACAGGGGCAGATGGAATCTCCAGCAAAGGGGATGACCACAAGGGAACATACCAAGGGATTTAAACATTATGCAGGTGTAGGGAAGGAGGAAGGGTTTGTCACTGTTTCCTGCTCAGCATCTGCAAGTTTTATGTATTTGAAGGCTGTTACCAGGTTTTACGTTCATCTTCTCCACAAAAAACCAACCTCTGCTTGTATTATCTGCAGATGGGCCCTCGCTTTCTAATCCTCTTTTTGGTCCCTCTGCCTTTCCTTTTGCCTCCCTGTGGCAGTGTGATGCCAGGCACCAGACCCCGAGCCAGCGCCAGCCGGTGCCGAGGAGGGAGCCAGGGTTAGAGCACCGTGTTTGCACAAGGTGCTATGAGATCAGTATTTGTCTTCCCTTCAAACACCCCGGCAGGGCTGAGACATGCCAAGCCTGCAGTCTAGAGAACCACTGCCATCCATTTCAACCTTTCCCATCATGTCCTAATTTTTTGCTGTTCAAGTGGAAGAAAAGGAGAAAAAAAGTCTGAGTGCAGGGGAGGGTGGATATTGGACTTGAGAAAAACCATGGTAAAGCTCTTCTTCCAAGGACCTTTAAAGATGCATTTGTTCAGTTTCTTGGAAGGAGCTCATGGCTTTATAAAGCCCTGCTCAGCTGCAGGGGCTACTTCACCTTCCAAAAAGCAAACAAAGGTCAAGCACACTCTTCTGTTCAACAGATCTCAGCTGAGCCTGGTCAGTCCTGAGAAGGAGAAACAAAGAGCATGGGACAGAGCAGAAGATGAAGGAGAAGGATGTCTTCCAATGCACAGGGATCAAAATGCTGGCTGTAGAAGAGAATAGTAGAGCATCCTAAGTGAGGAATACATATGTATTGAGAAGAACGCAGGGAGGGAAAAACATCAGGTGAGACTAGATATGTGTGAAAGTGGCTTTGGAAGGAGCCAGCTCATTCAGGGAATTCAACAGCATGTAGACAGAGGAAATTCAGGGCAAGCACATCCAAGGTGCTGCTGGAGAACAACAATTAGGACCTGTCATGCACGCTGATGCAGCTCCAAATTAACCT